ACTGACATCACCAAATGCTGGAGGACATGGAACCACAGGAACTCTCACTTATTGCTGGTGGAAATGCAATATAATATAGCCACTTTGCAAACCAGAATGATGGTTTCTTTAAAAATGAAGTATATTCTTAGCTTGTAATTGAGCACTCATGCTCCTTGGTATTTACTCATGGGTGCTGAAAACATATACACAAAACTTTTGCACAGAATTTTATAATAGCCTTATTCATGATTTCCAAAACTTGGAAGCAATCAAGATGTCCTTCAGTAGATGGATGGTACCTTCAGACAATAGAATGTTATTCAATGCTAAAAAGAAAAAAGCTATCAAGCTATGAAAAGATATGAAGGCAACTTAAGCACTTAGCAATAACTAACTGAAAGAAGCTAATCTGAAGAGGGTATATACTGTATGATTTCAACTATAACATGATATTCTGGAAAAGACAAAACTACAGAGACATTAAAAAGATCAGGAGCTGCCAAGGGTCTTTGGGGATAGAGAAAGAAACAGGGAGAACAGAGAGGATTTTTAGAGTACTTAAAATACTCTTCATGATGCTATAATGATGAATGCATATTATTATACATTTGTCTAAACTTATAGAATGAACAATACCAAAAATGAACCCTAATATGGACTCTGGATGATATTAATGTGTCGGTATAGGTTCATCAATGGTAACAAATGTACCACTTTGGTTAAGGATATAAATAATAGAGAGGCTATGTATTTGTAGGGGCAGGAAGCATAAGACATATTTCTGTACCTTCCTCTCATTTTTATTGTCAACCTAAATCTGCTTTAAAAGAACAAAAGTATTTTCATAAATAGCATAGCACTAAAGTGCCCAACAGGGCGTTTGGAAAAACCCAGGAGGACAACCAGGGAATCCAGGAGGATAAAGGTCCCTGAGAAAGAATTGGAATCAATCTAAGATGGAATGGGGTCCAGGAGTCAGTGTCAAATGTATTTGAGACACAATCTCCCCAGTATACTTATAGAAACAGAAATTCTATCAGACTACTTCCATCCTTAATTATATCAAATCTTCTACAGGAACAAGGCAGGAAATGTCCTGGTACTCCTTCAACTAGTAGACACTGAGGACCTTCTTTAAACTTTTCCAACTGAAAAAAGAACATGCCACCTCAGGAATGATAGTCAATTGTGGGTTTTAGGAGAAAAAGCAGCAAAATAGGCAAAAGAAACACCTAGAAGAGATGAGTTCTACTAGCAAAGTTTTGCTAAAGACCAATTCAGTGCTCAACGTATTGCCATCCACCAACATGCTCCTAGCACTTTTGACCTCTTTGCACCCTACAAATTAGAAAACTGGGCATAAAAAGACTAAACAGCTTGCCAGAGGTGGTAACTAAAATAGAGCGAGAACTAGTAGTAAATGACAAGTGTCCCAATTATGGACAACCCCTCCAGCCAATCTGCTCTTTCAAGAGCACCTTCTGAAAAGAATTCTAAAATTATTTTGTCTTTAAAAGCTGAGAAGTTTGGGGGACACTAGTGCCATTAGCTTGGCATTCAAGACTTCAATATTTATAACATGAGAACTGTGTCAAGGCTACTGGCATCTCCTTAAAAGTATTCATTACTCTTTTCCCAAATCTCTGTTGAGAGTTTGGAAATTTTGTTTCAAAACTATGTTTGGCAGAGAATATATACAAGGTTTTAGGTTATTATAAAGTAGTTGATGAATCAAAGACCTGCGAAAATCAGTGTCTAAAATGGATTAATGCTTTCTACACAGGAATTGTCAGTATACTGAAGAAAAATAAAAGGTAAGTGCAAATGGATTCCTCATTATCTAAACAAAAAATAGCCTTTCTTCATATTTAAACTTTTAAAAAGGAGGGAGGCCGGGTGTAGTGGTGCATACCTGTAGTCTCAGATCCTGGGAAAGCTGAGGCAGGAGGATTTCAAGTTCAAATACAGCCTCAGCAACCTAGCCAGGCTCTAAGCAACTCAGCAAGACCAAATCAAAATTTAAAAAAATCAAAAGGGCTGGGGAGGTGGCTCAGTGGTTAAGTGCCCCTAGGTTCAATCCCTGGTATCAAAAAATAATAACTTTTTTTTTATTTGTACACAATACATTTATTTGAACCCAGGACCTCGCATATGCTAGGTGAGCGTGCTACCGCTGAGCCACAACCCAGCCCCAATAATAACATTTTAGGCAAAAAAGACTCTAAGTGACTGAGTCACTAACAGCATATAGACCTTTTTAAATCTTATATATCATTAACCTAATATTCCAAAATTTTTAAAAAAATAGAACACTTGTCCAATTTCTGTAGATAAAATTAAGATTCCATTTAGAAGAACCTTGTGAAGTCATATGTTCATTCTGATAAAAATAATATTTCACCAACTAAATTTAAATAAGGAAGGGAAGGAGGTCAGTAATAGAGAAGAAGGGAGGGAAGAAGGAGTGAGACACATATCCTCAAAAAAATTCCTAGCTTTACCTCTAAACTTTGTAGACAAACTGCCATCTATGCAAATTTGTTATAAGAAAGTACTTATAGTCACCTACTCCCCCTACTTTTCCATGCACAAAAAGAAAGCAGCCAAAGGAAACAACTCCCTAATTTATACCTCACATTTATAGTTCTCTCACATACAGGACTAGTAATAACTTCAGAAACCTATTAGAGACATTTCAATATATGTTAGCAGTTTTTATTCAGAAAAAAAAAAACTTCATTGTATTTTGGTTATTAGTTTCCAAAGAAAATCCTGATGTTTTCATGAAGAGGAACTACTAAATTCAAGCAGGCTCTGCCTGCCCTTGAAGCACAACATACTAAATACCATGCATGAAATTAAGGTAGAACTACGAGGTAATCTAACTGCAATTGCCATACAAGGACTGGTAAAATTATTAATTCCTCTATAATACACACTAAATGTTAGTTTTAAACTCTAATTTATTCCTGAAAAAAAATGTTAATTTTCTTTTAGTTTCTAGGTATGAAAATTATATTCCAATAAATTAATTTTAATTTTCAAGTTATTAGATAAGAAGTGGAGTACAGAACCTTGTGAAGTCATATGTTCATTCTGATAAAAATAATATTTCACCAACTAAAGTTAAATAAGGAAGAGAAGGAAGTCAGTAAGTAGAGAAGAAGGGAGGGGAAAAGGCGTGAGACACATATCCTCAAATATGATCAACAGAAAAGGTACTAAAAGTTTTCATTTTTTCCAATTATTCATCACACACTTTGCTCCCTGGTATTTCCTTTTTTTTTTTTTTTTCCTTTTTTAAAATACCCACCTATTTAAGATTCACAAAAAAAGAAATCAACTGGTTTACAGCTCTTTTAAATTTAAGAACTAAGCTAATCTTATTGGCTGAAAAAAAGTGAAGCACAGAGTAATACTTAGAATGATCCTCTTGTGTTTTTTTAAGCAGATATTTTTGTTCCTAAATTTCTGAAAATATGAGAGTATATATAAATAATTTTGTTCATAGTAATTACTAGAGAAGAGAGAAGTATGGCATGGGAGATGTTTATGCTTCATAATATCTCTTTGGTTTTGTTAGAAACTTGTATTTTTATTTATCTTCTGTAATTTAAACTTCTAAAAAAATTTTTAAAATGTACTACCCACCCTGAGAGCCTCTGCCACTTACGTGTTCATTCTCTCCAGTAGAGGGCATGGTAGATTCAACATGGAAAAAGTATTAGTTTATCAGACACTCTCCCATTGTGGTTTTGCTGTGCAACTTTTACAACCCACTGCCTTGTTTCTTCTTCCACCACAGAATGGAAAATATGTGTCATCTTAATGTGGAGCAATCCTATTTACCTAAAACCTAACTGCATAAAAAAAATCCAAAGGGAAGTCATCAAAATTATAGCTTTCACTTTAAAAATGTCAGCCTGTCTTTAAAAAGACATGGCAACTTTTTAAGAAAAAGGCTTCTGTTAACAACAAGTATTGCCTTAACTCATAAAATTACCTTTACAATAAATATTTTAAACTGATTTATGTTCAGATTTATCAATCAACCATACAATTTTTAGAAAAAAAATAATTTCTGCCTTTTAATATGAGTTTTCAGTCTGAAAAGGTTTATGAAAAAGTAAATACGAGTCAATGCTCTGGTTCATTCCTATAATCCCAGATACTGGGGTAGATGAGGCAGGAGGATCAAAAGTTCAAGGTCAGCCTAGGCAACTTAGTGAGACCCTGTATTAAATTAAAGGCAAAAAGTGAATTGAGGTTGCAGTTCAGTGGTAGAGCATTTGCCTAACATGTGCATTGCCCTGGGTTCAAATCCCAAGCTCAGTGGTAGAGCACCCCTGGGTTTAATTCCCAGTACTGGGGCTGGGGGAATGCTTAGATATTAAACAAAACCATCAAGGATAGTCAGCATTTAAATCACTTGTTTACATGAACACCTATATATTCACCTTTGTCAATATCGAGAGATGACTGAACTTCTCTAATTTGGAGATCTCTGAAGAATTTAACTGTTAATTTTTGCTTATTTTCCTTAATCATTTATTATCCAGACACCATTTATAAATATATATCATGAACTTGATATTTTATAAATCTGCAACATTATTTTGATACTTATATAATAAGTATTGAATCATCAGAAAGTGAAAATAGATGTAGGAACATTATTTAAAATTATTTTAGAACAAAGACCATATGCTTAAGAAAAATTACCTTCTTATAGTCTTACAAACATGCTTTCAGGTATTTATTATTGAAATCTAAATGATTTTCTTTTCCACAATAAAGTATATAACTGTTCTAATAAATGCAGATTTTGCTAAGTCAAACTTGCAGCTCCAACTACTGGCAGCCCAATATATGAATATGTTGGCTGGTTCCAATTTTCAAAAATATGTCTCCAATTTTCTCTTAACAGGTCTACTGCAAAGTAGGGAGAATATCTTCAGCCTAATCAATGCTTTGCTGTAATTCTTACTGTCTATTTAGAGGCTTGATAGGAAACCCACCTGAATATTCCATCTTATAGTTCTGGTAATATTATCTGAAATGGAATCACTTTGTAGTTGAGGCAATCTATTTGTCCTTAAAGCCTGCAGTAAAGAGAGATGGTTTTTGAAAATGAAGCTTCTTCAATCAAACCCTACCTCCCTGACCACTTCCCCCACGTTCCCCTCCCCCACCACAGACACCCTTTTTGTCCATTGAATGTTCTGGTAAATTCTAAGCCAACCAAGAATGATTCATGAGGAAATCCTGATTCCTTGCACTCTTAAAATAGAAAAGATTCCGGTGCGTTATCAAATTCTTTGTTTTCCTCTTTATCTCTCACCATAAAAGATTTGTGATTTGTGTTAGCAGGAGACACTGTGGAGGACTCCAGAGCAGCAGCCCTACAACCTCACAGGTTTCAGCCAGGTGTCTAGTGGTGATCAAAAATGCAAAACCAATTAAAGCCCTGTCTTCCGACAGTCACTTTCACCTGTTTCGCCTCTGAATAATAATCATTCCCAAAAGTGTTCTAAGATGCCTAGGCAAGTTGCAAAGCAGGTCACAGCACCTGTCCTGTGCAGTCATCCTTTCAGGTTTCTCCGGTTAGGTTTCCTTCCCCCAATTAAGTGGAGTACCTGGGAGGGACTGGAAGGGTTTCTCTGCAGCCTCAGTTTACAGACCAGGTGGCCTCGTGTGAATCTTTAAAGCATGACTGTAAACCACAAAGGAGGCGCAGAGAGAAAGAGCACGCTCAAGAAAACACAAAAGGAAAAGCCACTGAACTCTGGCTAGCAGCAAACGGATTTCCCTGCTGGGGAATCGGCACTCCCAGGCAGCAGCAAGCAAGAGGGATACGGGAGAGCGAGCGCCCAGGCCTGGCCGGCAGCCAACCTCGGGCCGCAGCGCAGCCCTCCCATCCCCCCCGGCCGCCGCGCCTTGGCAAAGGTCTCGGCGACGGCTCGCACTGAAAGGTCTCTTTCTGCCCCTACACGGGTCCCTCTAGCCGCAGCTTCTCGGCCTGAGTGCGCACGAAGCCGGGGCCGCCTACGTCAGCAGCGCCCTCGCTCAGGGACCCTTCCGCAGCGTCCGTGACCGCCGCAGGCCGCGCTGACCCCGCCCCAAGCCCGCCTGCGTTAGCCAATCCTCGCTCAATGGAGGCGGGGCCGGCGCCGCGAGGCCCCGCCCCTGCGCCGCATCCTCTTTTAAATGCAGCGCTGCGCTCCTCGCTGAGAACAGCTGCGGTTCCTGCGGGAAAAAGATAATGCAAAGTGCCATGTTCTTGGCTGTCCAGCACGACTGCGTACCCATGGACAAGAACGCAGGCAGTGGTCCCAAGAGCGAGGAGAAGCGGGAAAAGATGAAACGGACCCTGTGAGTATGGCTTTCTTGTCTCTCCCGCGACCTCCAGTCCAGCTCCTTCCTAGGAGCGTTTGCTGCAGACGCGATACCTTTGACTTTAGCAAACTGTAGCCTGAGCTGCTGCAGAATAAACAAATAAATATATGGGGGGAAAGTTAATTTGCACAGTAATTGTAAAATCTGTGTTGTATGTACTTGTTTTTGTGCGCCAAGGACACAAAAACAAGTACATAGTTTAGGAACTGAGGAAAAATCTCTGTACAAGAGCGGTGGTAGATGCGCTAAGATACTGCAGACGGGCTTTTGTTCTGCATTTAAAATGACATCAGAATACTGCAGCTGAAGCGGGTATACAGGATCCCAGTGGCATTCTTAAGGTTGCATTTTGAGTTCTGATGAGCTTACATCGTTTTTGATGATATGTTTTGACTGGTTCTGAGTACAATGGTTTTTTTTTTTTTTATGATAAAGCAGATAGTACCCAGTCACGACTGTGGAACAAATAATTGTTCTGCAGTATCCGCTTAAAAGGAGCACTGTAGGTGGAGAAGGAGGAGAGCCAGAGGGAT